CCTGGCATCGCTACTAGGAGCAAGGACGCTACTAGGGGCTCCTGGCCTTACTACTAGGAGCAAGAAGCTACTAGTTAAGTTTCCCTAAAAATCTAGGAACCAAATGAATTTTTGCGAGCGCTTCTTCAAAGAAGCTCCCTACCTACCTCTAGCTACTACCTACCTCTACCTCTACACCGCCTACCCCCCAAAAGAAACAGAAACAAAGGCATCGTGTGCTGAAATTCAGAGGCCTTTGTTGGGCTTCAGCTGATGGGACTGGTTGTGAAGAGCGACACTACTTTGGTCGTGTCTAGACTGCACTGGTCCTCCCAATGCATCTATTGCTCATCTATGATTTCAAGTTCTCGAACAAAGTACCCCTTGTCACTTGACATTGTATTGACAGGAGTTTCATATGATAGTCGCAAGATGTACATTAGTGGGGTGGATCAAGGCCAGACTGGGGAATATTTAGAGACGATTGGTAGCAGAAATAGGAACTTGATCGCATCAGCCAAGGCACTTGGTGATTTGTCACAGCCCAATTTGTGGCAACAGTGGCATGCTTGATTAGAATACAAGTGACGCTTCAGCAGAGTAGGTTGAAAGATTAAAAGAGATTGTATGCCTTGGCAGGTTGGCCTTCACCGCAACATTGCTTGTTGCTGGCCTTTTGATCAGAAAGGTCACTGGGGCACTGCTCCTAGGCTGGGTCTGACTACCGCAGTGTGTGGTGTGCAGCACATGGTCTTCCTTGTGACAAGTTTCCAGCTGCCAGGAATTTGTTTCACTGCAGCAGCCTCATACCTTCTTGGTTTGCCCAATCCGAACCAGGTGCATTTCTGACGGCTCTGACGCAGCAAAACTCTGGTTGGGTGTTGGATATCGCAGATCAACCCACGTTGTGAAAGTATCATGCAACTTAGCAAGACGCTTATAAGGCTTGGAGTTTTTGTTTTGATCTTTTGCTGTATGTCTGTGTCCTTGCAAGGATCCATCCGGTAGTCTTTCAGCTGGTTTTGAGCTCAGTCCTCTTTTTGTACGAAAACCACTTTGTTTGTTTGGTGGTAAACTTGTTTCGAGAGCAACCGTGACTGTGTTTTCCGCTACAATTCACAACTTGTTTTCGTTGAGATCCGCTTTGTGCTGTGCCAACTTATGAAGCTTGTGAGATGTCTAGTGTGATAGCGCGCAAGGGAAATGAGAAGGCTGAAACTATCAGTTGATACTGTAAGTTTCTGGTGAATGTCAAGTAAGTTCAGATGGTTATATACATTAGACTGAGTAACATATCATTGGTAATCATATCCATGAAATCTATGTCCGGCCACAAGATAGCTTGGTGGTAAATGGTTGCCCAAATCCCTGCCTGCTGAGTCCTTGTTTCCAATCCGTAGCCAGCACTTGAAGCCGTAGAACAGTTGAAGATTGGCATGGTTCATTTTCAATCGGCCCTGGTTTCATCTGAGAACGAGATGGGGGTCACATCAAGCAACCCGACACTTGCTCACTTGTGACCAGGGATAATTTCTTAGCAGGTATGTGATCAAGGTTCAATGAAAGCGCTCTACGTGTGGTGATCTACCCTTCGTACAAATCTAAGCTTTGTTGTAGAGCTGACTTTGGGACAAGCATTGAAGAATTCTTGGAATGTGTAGGACGCTCAAGTGGTACGTATTGCGTTTGCGCTTTTGTTCCCTTCCCTTTTGAAGTGCTGCCTAATACTAAACGCTTTCTCGGCATATTGTTGGGAATAGTAAGGATTGCTTTGTTGTTTGAAAGGAAATGGACAAATGCAAAGCGATGTGCTTCAGGAAGCAGCTAATGCAGGTCAACGTTTCCCCAACACGAACACCAATGGACAGACTTTGACAACCGCTGATATCCCCTGCTCACAAGTCCTGCAGGTCGCAAACCTATGGTTTGCAGTATTATCCAACTTCTTCCCAATGTAACATGTTTTTGGCCAACCAGAGTCCTCCAAGAAAGCTTCTTTTAGCAAGCTTCCTGGTGCCTCTATCCCCTTTTCCCCCAGAAGACTGTTTTTGTACTCATGATGCAACCAAGTTTATCAAGGCCAACCCTCTCCCACGCCACTCATCCAATGCAGCAATCAATTGCAAAGCAGACCGTAGGGCCTTGTTTTCTCAACAAGACATCTATTCGACAGAAGCTAACAACAGCAAGCAATTTGCACGTCAGGATGTGAAGCAAGTAGTGAATCAGACGTGTAGTTTCTTTTGGGTAAGCACCAATGTACCTCAAGGCGCGGACCTTCCACGCGTCTTTGACTTGGACTTCACTCCGATGTTGGAGAAGCCTCAGGCTGTCATGGGGTCTCAAGCAAGTGAGCAAGAGCATGACTTGATGATGGACATTGGACCGTGAACACATGACGCAGTTGTATCAAATTTGACTTTCTCATTGTGAAGGAATTTGGGACTGCGGTGTTGTGCCTCCTTTTCATCGTTGTCTTTGACACAGCAGGCGTATCCACCTTAGCTTCCCAGTTTGAGGGAAGAGGACTAGGCAGTGTCATGGGAATGTGTTGAGGTGCAGCATGGCATTGGTCAGCAGGCCTCACGGTCTACAGATTGTACAGTTTCACGCTTGGCTTTGATGAGGGTTTGCAATGGCCAGGCCGGGCTGCTGGACAGACATGGCTTTCTCCCTGGAGCAAAGAGTTTTCCTCAGAGGGTCTTTTCTCTGACGGAAGATAGCTGAAGCTAGCTGTGCCTATGCCTATGGCCATGTTCAGTTGAACATGTACGTGCTTGCGTGTATTCAACTTTGTTAAGCCAGCCATGGTGTACATCCCTCCCACCGACTAGTTTTGTGGATTGAGTTGATACAGGCTAGGGGAAAGGAATTCAGTCTGTTTTGCTCTATTCTAGTGAGGACCCTAAATCAGAGCACAACCCAGCCGTTTGGGGAAACTGCAATGACTTGTTTGTGCATCACTTGGTATTATAAAACACAGCAACAGGGAAGCGCGTGTGTTCATATTGAATGGCTGCTACTATGATGAAGAAGCAAGATCTGCTACCTCACTTAGTTTGGTGTGTCTTCCACATGATCCTTTTGGCCATTTTCTTGGATTCTGCCATTAGGTATGGATACCTGGGAAGTGCTTTTGGCACTGGCTTGGGTGCCGTTATGGGCACCAGTCCAGCAGAAAGCTTGGTAGTCATTGTAGCCTTGAGCCCGCTCAGTCTTGAGCGGTTTGGCGTGTTCAAGGTCATAATCCACAATGAGTCTGCAGCTGGTGTTCAAGAAGGTGGTCGAACTGGGACCCTGCCTCAAATGAAGGTTAAGCATCCGCATTGGTGTAACATGACGCAACAATTTTCTACGCGTTTCCAAGTTTGCCCCCAGCACAGTGTAGGCGGTTCTGACAGCGGCACAGTGCTTCACTGAGGCTCTGTGCTATGACCACGGCAGTGCTCTTTCTCCTCTCGCCGGTCCTGGTGCCAGTGATCGAACTCATTCCACCAGAGGCCTTTTTGTTCTAATGGCTTCTCGTTCCTAGTAGCGAGGCCAGGAGCCCCTAGTAGCGTCCTTCATCTGGGGTAGGCCGCTAGTAGAGGTATATAGTAGCTAGAGATAGCAAGTAGTAGTAGCTAGGTAGCTACTAGTATGGACGCAGGATAGCTCACTCTTCTTCAAGGAAGCTCCCCGGCCGCCCTTCCTTGAAGAAGCGCTTGCAAAAATTCATTTGGTTCCGAGATTCTTGGGGAAACTTATATTACTATATATAGTTTCAAATTGCACATTTTCATATTGCCACGAGATCTCACATTTCGCAGCTCAAGCAGGCAACTGCACCATGCCTAGTGCTGGTTGGCAGCATGATGATGGGTCCTGTGGGACTCCAAGTCTTGTAAGGAGTTGGTCATGGTTCACCTGCAGAACCAGCAGCAAAAGCATCGCTTGGACCAACACTGGTGATTGCAAGGTCAAAGACATAGACTTCGGCGACTTGCGAATTGCGCTTCCGGCTTTCCTCACGATTTGTATTACGCCCTTGGCGCATGCACCTCAGTGTGATGCAAGAAATTTAGCAGATTTCTGTTCCTGTACTGGTCCCAGAGCCTCAGTGCTGCTGAGGTACTCGATATCATTCGGCATTTTCGTAGGGATCGCATCGTACTATGTGCTGGGTGGTGTTCTTTGGCTGGCGGAGGCTCTGGACGCTTGCTAACCAGTGCGCAGATGATAACTTGCACATCTCTTGTTGCAGTTTTCTTATCATTTCTTACCTTTGTTGATGCAGTTTTGACACGGGTTGAAATGGGATCCGAGTGTGTCAGATCTCGCTCATTTGAGTGCTTTCTTTATCGCTGCAAAGGTGTCCTCACCAGGAGGCAAGCCAGTGCAGCCGAGGCAAGGGGACTTGCAATTGAGAAGGAGCTACCAAAATGCCGCGCACCACCAAATTTCAGATCTGATCAATTCGTGTAACACAAAGCGGAAGTTTCTGAGAGGTTTTTGGCTGCAGATGATGATGAACTAATTCCAGAGGCATCATTTGGACAGTGCAAAGCAAGCAAAGGAGTTTTATTACTGTACCTCTTTGTGGTTCTAGTTGACTTTCATTGAGCGGGCTTTGGCTCTCCTCAGGCACCATGAGTTGTGGATCTTTTTCTTGTGGAGTGTCCAAACACCCTGCGGAGGGTGAGGATGGCACACAACATGTGCACCATCCTGCATTTCTGAGGTCTCAAACATGTCTGTCCCAAACGCAAGTATAATGAAACAGCTTGAATCCAACATGTGATCCCAAGATTGCTTGGACGGACTCAAAGAAGCTCAATGTATCAGTTGGATCGCTGATTAAGAATCAATGTCAAGCAAATCATAGGGCTTGACGTGCATGCAGGCTTTCCCGGTTTAGTGCTTACAAATTGGTGCTTGTCAGAGCACAATGTGGGCAGAACCTTGAGAGCCATGTACAGAATGCCTTTGCAATCAAGAATCAAGAACACATGACCTTCTTAGCCCTTTGTGCAACTGCCACAACATGCAAGGAACAAAGCGTTTGCATGCTTATTTGTAAAACGTCCTATTGCAAAGGCCAGAACCGTATTTTCCCAATTTTGGTGATCAGATGCCACAGTTGGGACCCATTTGTTCGGACCCCCAGCATTATTTTCAAACGGCAAGGCTTATGTGGCCACGTTTGGAGTAAGACATGATAACATCATTTGGCATCTCTTCATCCTTAAGTGCTCCGGCATGGGAACAGCTGGTTTTGCCTTCGAGACCTCAGAAACATCTTGACCTCGCATTTGCGAGAGAGAGCTCTTGACCATCTGCGCATGGTACAAAAGACCCCACATGCATTCGTGGAAGACTCGAGCAATTCATGCCTCAGCGCATGCTGATGAAGTTGCCTTAAATTGACTTCAGCCACGCAGGTCGTTTGCTTCCCTCACCTGAACACTTGGCACTTATGGGACCGGGGCTTGGTTTGTGCAGAGTCTGCTTGAGTGATGACTTGGGTGTGGCAGTACATTTCTGCAGAACAGTTCTCAAACATGGATTCTTTGGTGGCAAACAATGTATTGGATTTGAGTTTGAGGCCCTTACTGCTGTGCTTCTTGGTCTTTTTGCAGCCACATGGTTCGAGGTTGCTTGGGCATGTCCTTTGCCCACATTTCACGTTGTTGAATATTTGAGTATACATTGTCCCTCACCTTGCATTTGTGACGATACCTCTAGGGCTGGCGAGAACTGATGATTGATTTGCTGGACCCACTTTTTGCAAGGGCCTCAAGTCCTGTGCACGGCAGATATGGGCTTCCACCAAACTGTTCCAATCGGCAGCCTCATTGTTTATGTGTTTACTTCAATCATAGGATTGAACCAATGCAAAAAATGAACTTGCTAAGGTTGTCCGAAGTGATGCAGACAAGGCCAGTGTGCGACAGGGCGGATTCTCCTTGATAGTGGATCCTTCATCAAGACGGAGTCTCACAGTCTCACCTGTGTGAGACGCTACTAGGGGCTCCTGGCCTTACTACTAGGAGCAAGGACGCTACTAGGGGCTCCTGGCATCGCTACTAGGAACAAGGACGCTACTAGTAGCGATGCCCTTTGCTCCTAGTGAAAAGGCTTGTGATTTGCGTCCGGGAGGCACTTCCTGGCAAGCAAAGGGAGACACTGAGGAGATGCTCCTGGGTAGGATGCCAAGCATTTTGGCGCCAAGCAGTGCACGCGGCTGTCAGAGCCAATTATTATTGCAAGCATTGCAGCATTGCATCAGAGTGTCTTCATATTTAGGCTTGCTGCCTTGTCTGTGGTGCAGTGGCCATGTGGGACATCATGTTGCACCCTGTAGAGGCAGGCAACACAGAGGTTTCAAACATTCAATCCTGGTTCAACTTTGAAGCAATTCATATCCAGTTTTGCGTGAACCGATATCAGGAGGGGCTTTTTGAACTTCCCAGCGACATGCTACATGGTTTGGATGATGGGCACGGGCGCCACAGTCACTCTGTCGTCAGCAGCTGCAGCTTGTTAGTTCACGTTTTCTTTAGCACCACTCAGGTTATCGGAACTGTGGGATCCAAACACAATGTTGCTCTTCCGATGGAAACCTGGCGAGGGAAGAGGACTGCCGTGGGGTGCCATGAAGCTGTTTGAAACGAGTAGAGTAGAGTAATTATATATAGCCTTTGAAAGAAGCGAGATTCCTGAGATCTGCAACGATTGAAGCAACTGCTGCTAAGGAAAGCTGTAATTATCCTGTTTCCATTTAAGATACTCGACAGACTGAACAGATGACGAGATGGAATACAGAATAAGAAGAGAAAGAGACTGAACAGATGAATACAGAATAACAAGCGAGAGAGAGAGAGAGAGAGAGAGAAAGAGACCAGTTCCGGATTAAGAGATATTCGCGCTCCAACTCTGACCAGATGAAACTGCGCTACTATTTGCGGCTGCTGAGACATTGGGCACCGAACCACTGAGCCTCAAAAAACAGGCAGGAGCACCGTCAGTATTGTTTACAGACTTGTTTAGGCCATTGCTTTTAGCTTGAAGGCCATCGCTAGTAGGTTGGAGACCATCGCATGAGTACGGCAGTATACTGCAGTACTGTGTCTCACACAGTGAACGGGAAGAAACTCAAGGGACGCCTGGGACGATCTTTGCTTCGCCGAAGGCACTCTTTGAGGAACAGAGGCTGCTTCTTTTCAAGCATGAGGCTGGCAAGGCGACCAAAAACGCTTTTCAAATGAACAAAGAACCAGGTGACAAATAGACTGCTCCACTTTACTTGTGGGAAATCGGTTTTCTTTGCTTCCCTGACTTAGGACCGTTCAACCACACCGCACTGTCCTCAATGAGCAAAAGAACTGCCATCAGTTCGCCTCATGTCTCGCTCGAGGCCCATCCACACGAAGTGGAAGACGAGTGTTGCCAGCCCCCAGGACCGTGCTGCCGACCCAAGTCCATTCAATCTACTGTAGCCAGTAGAGTGGCATAACATCCAAGAGTGCAAGATGGTGCAAGTAGACACATGAATCTGCCTAGTATCACATCAACATTAAGGGAGTGAGTGTACCCTTCAGTTTCTGCTTCTTGAACCTGGTCGCATTCGCTTGGCCCTTTTTGGCTTGCCTTGGTTGGCATTGCGTTGGCTTACCAAGTTATTCGGGTTCGGTTCAGTGTGGTCGATATTTTGACCCGCATCATGCATTGACTCGCTGCACGTCGACATGCAAGTTTGGTGTTTATATAAATAATTTGCATTTTCTCATGTCACTCGTCTCAAAAAGCGAGAGCCACGGACAACACGTCACTGGTCGAACCCGAATGTCTTGCCGAAGCACTACTTTGGCAGGGCGAACTAGCCAAGATCGTTGACTCCAGCTTCCCAGCTGTACTGAACGTTACTCTGTGCAATCCCAAGTTGAGCTGACGTGAGGGATTGGACTTGTAGAGGACGGTTTTCTTGCCTTTGACGGCAAAGAAGACTTGTTCCCTTCAGGGAGCAATTGGGTATTCATGCCGCGAACAATGAAGCCCTTCCAGCATTCGAGGTGCCTTCACGTTCATGCTCACACAGAGGTGGCCAAGGTTCAGGCTGGCAGTCGCATTCACGCAATCCAAATCAATGAGTCAAATTCTGCTTGCCAAGTCTTTCACATGCAGATTTAGGCTCGAAAAAGTGGAGAGGAGGCCGCTGGATTTCTACATTTGTGTAGCCATTGAATTGTTTCTTGGCAGCCTTGGCAAGCGCTCGATCCTGCACAGGCCGAGGAGCCAAAAGAGACGCCTTCTCCTTATCCTCTCCCTGCTGAATTCTTAGAGGCAAGCTTTTGTTCTTTTCTTATCGTCTCCTTTTGCTACTAGGAGCAAAGGGCATCGCTACTAGGAGCAAGGACGCTACTAGTAGCTCCTGGCCTTACTACTAGGAGCAAGAAGCTACTAGTAGCTTTTGTCCTTATCATCTGCACCTTGCCCCTGTGAGATTGTTGGACCCTCTGCGGATGCACGAGAGGCGTACTTCGCTGGTGGATTGCTGAGTCCAGACACAAAGACCAAGCATTTTACGATTAAGAGTGATGTCACATTGCCGGGCAAGGTTGCAAGTGGTGGACGGATACCCTAGATTCCTTTTATGGCCATCCTGTTGGAAGCCTAGTTGTTTGCCCTCTCAAGAATTTATTGAGATCGTTCTTTTTTGGCTTCCAAGATTTGCTTTACAGGATAACATGACAGACGACGAACATCATTCTTCGGCGGATTCCGCAGACCAACCAGCTGTAGATGCAGATGCGGAGGCAGAGTTTGATGCTGCTAGTGTGTCTTCCATTGCTGCTCTGACTCCCTCTCCCTGTTTGTTTTGTCATCTCCGGCAAAGGGGCTGGAAGTTTTCGCCAAGGATTTACCGTGTGCATCCGTTTGCCGTGTGGAGTGTAGTGGTTACTTGTGATGTGGCGTGTAGTGATTTCTGATGTGATAATGACCAGAGTCTAAGCATGTCTAAACATTAATTCTCAACTTCGTTTAAGTAAAGATACATATATATATATAGCTGCAGCTGTACTGCTGTGCTACACACATTTCCCCAGATAGCCAGATAGCGACAGCTATTGGGGTTTTTACTTCAAGTGTAGGAAGAGGTGCCCGTGTGCGCTTTCGAGCCAGGGTGTTGGTGCCGCCAGAGAAAGTGCCGCTGCCAGATGTGTATGACCGCGTGCGCTTTGGCAGGGTGGCGGTGGGTGCTTGAGGGTGCTGCTGCTGCGAGATGTTTGTGGTCGTGTGCGCTTTGGAGCCTGGGTGCTAGCGCTGCTGCAAGGTGCTGCTACCAGAGGTTGATGTCAGCATGCGCTTTGGAGGCTGGGTGCTGGTGCAGCTGCAGGGTGCCGCTGCAGGGCGCTGCCCGCATTTTTTTTGGTTGCCTGCAGCTTAGCTGGCATCATAATTGCTCAAGTCCCCAGAAATATATACTTATCGTTGGCTTTCTCAGAACAATGTTTTTGTTCTTGTGTAGACAGCTGTGCTTTTCTGTTTTAGAGACCTCAGCGGCTCTACGCCGAAGCCTCTATTTTCTTTGTATCTTTGTGCACTTGTGTCTACAAATTCATTGTGATTGTGTGTAAACATGTGCAGTACTTTTTTGTATGTTTTTTCTCTAATGGTTAGTAGTCTTTGCCTTCTTGTACTTCTCTACATTTTGAACAAATCTCTATATCTATATATATACGATGCTGGCCTGATCCACTTAGCTCAGATTTTCGAACTTGGTGCCGGACGCAC